GACATGGGATGGTGGCATTGGGAGCATGAGGAATGGGGACATGGGGGCACTGGGAACTGGGATGGGGGCTGAGGGACACTGGGGATGGGGGCACTGGGGGCACTGGGAGCAGGGGGATGGGGGCACTGGGGGCACTGGGAGCAGGGGGATGGGGGCACTGGGGATGGGACAGGGGGACACAGGGCGCTGGGAACAGGGGGACGGGAGCACCAGGGCACTGGGAGCACTGGGAACAGGGGAATGGGGGCACACTGGGGATGGGGACATGGGGACAAGGGTGGGGACCCCTCAAGACAATCCAAGGGCTCGGGGACCCCCCCCGGCCACCACCACTGAGCCAGGGCAGGGACCACCGAGGGCCTCGCTCGGGGGGACAGACGGACGGACACCCGCGGGCTCGGGGACCCCGGGTGACAACTCGGGGACCCTCGGGGACACTCGGGGGGGGTCTCACCGTGCGCGGGGGCCGCGCCTGTCCCCGGGGGGCCGCGCTCCCGGCCCAGGCCGGCGGCGCCGGGGGCTGCAAGGAGAGACGGGGAAGGGGGGACGGACACGGGGACGTCACCCGGAGTCCCCAACGCCGTGGGGAGGGGAGGTGGTGGCACCCAGGGGGACACTTGGGGATACGTGGGAGGGACACACTCACCCTTCTTCTTCTTGCGCCCGGGGCGGCCCCGTTTGAGCTTCTTGAGGCGGGTGGTGGGGTCGGGGCGGGGGGTGGCCCCCAGGACCCCCCCCGGGCTCTCGGCGTCCGACTCCTCCTCGGCCTCCCCGGCGTCCTCGCTCTGCTCGGGGACAGAAGGGGACACGGGTCACCAGGGGACACCAGGGGACACAGGTCATTAAGGAACACCAGGGGACATCAGGGGGGACAGCAGGGACACGGGTCACTAGGGGACACCAGGGGACATCAGGCGGGACAGCGGGGACACGGGTCATGAGGGGACATCAGGGGATAGTGGGGACACAGGTCACCAGGGGACATCAGGGGACACCAAGGGACACCAGGGGACACGGGGGACACAGATCATGAGGGGACACCAGGGGACATCAGGGGGGACAGTGGGGACACAGGTCATGAGGGGACACCGGGGGACACCAGGGGGCACGGGGGACATCAGGGGATACCAGGGGACACAGGGCACAAGGGGACACAGGTCACGAGAGGACACCAGGGGACACGGGGGACACCAGAGGACACAGGGCACGAGGGGACACCAGGGGATACCAGGGGACACCAGGGGACACGGGGGACATCAGGGGGGACAGCGGGGACACGGGTCACGAGGGGACACGGGGGACACCGGGGGACGCAGGTCATGAGGGGACACGGGGGTGGAGGGGCACCCTGTCCCCAGTGTCCCCATGTCCCCAACCCCAGTATACCCAATGCCCCTGTCCCCAGTGTCCCCATGTCCCTGGGTGTCCCCATCCCCAGTGCTCCCAGTGCCCCCTCCCCTGTCCCCCAGTGTCCCCTCCAGTGCTCCCAGTGCCCTCACCCTGTCCCCCCAGTGCTCCCAGTGCCCTCACCCTGCCCCCCAGTGCCCCCCCAGTGCTCCCAGTGCCCCCTGTCCTGCCCCCCAGCGCCGCCCCCCAGTGCTCCCAGTGGGGACCCACCGAGCTGCTCTTCTTGCGCTTCCCTCCCAGTACTCCCAGTTTGATCTTGAGCGGTGCCATCTTCCTGC